TTTGAAAAAAAAAACAAACATTACCAGCAATAAATAGCTCGTTGGCATTAAATAACCCATTGAGGTTGATATACCGTAAAACAAACAAACAAATCAATGGGAGTAATGAAACTATTTTCAGTTGGGAAGAACAAAAATTATAGAGAAAATGCAATGATTTCTGATTAGAATGTGAATAGACAAATGCTGGGATGAAAATATATAAAAGGGTTTTAAAAAGTATTTTAAATGTTATGAGTAATAGCGTTGTATATTATGGATGGTGGCCCTTCTCCAAGTATTCCTCTCTTCTAGGTTGACTAACTAATCTCTGTCTTGTCACAGCCTCTTGTCCAGGTCTCTTTGTATTACTTCTTCACATATTATGCCAATCTGTGGTTTGTACAGCAACCGAGCCGTGCGGGTGTTAGTCACAGTTTCTGGAAAAGAGCGCATACACTGGTGTGATCAAGTTTGAAACATTGAACGTTGTGCGGGACGGAAATCACGTGTTGTCGTAACCAAGGGTTTGAATGCACTCAAACACTTGGTTACGACAACACGTGTTTTCGTTCCAGCAAAACGCTCAATGTTTCAGAACATTTTCATCATAAGTAATAATAATAATGATATAAAAATAGCATAAAAAGTTATAAATATTACTGATAATATTATTGCAACCATAATATTTGTATTATTTTAAATCTATTTTTATAATAATATAAAAAAGTTATACAAAAAAAAATTATGTTAATAATATAAAAAAAACATCTATGGTTCAACCAGTACAAGTAAAATTTTTCCATATCATTTGTCCCGGCAGAAGAGCGGTCAAACACCTGCCAAAGGATAGTTAAGTCTCTCGACTTTACCAAAGAACTGAGGGGCATCTGGAAGAGGAAGTTGTGCCAATTATTATCTGAGTACTAGGCACCAGCACGTAGAAACAGAAAATACCCTAAAAGTTCAGTAAATTCGATTATTTAAAAGTAATTACACAGAAAACAATCTTAAAGAGTTAAGATACTAAGAATAATGCGGAAGAATTATAGAAACCAACGCGTATTTAATGTTTGGTCATAGTAATAAGTTTGGTCATAGTAATAAGTTTGGTCATAGTAATAAGTTAAAACTATATATAGTAATAAGTTAAAACTATTAGGAAAACAACAACAATAACGACAGCAACAGAAGCAACAAAAGCAACAATTATAATAAAAATAATATTAAGAAGAACGCTTAACATTAAAGAATGCTGGGATTTTTATTGCTTCTCTTTACTTAAAGAAGAAGAAAAAACAGAGCAGAAAAATCATAAAAGAATAAAGAAAAGGAATAAAAAAAGAGTGAAGTACAATGATGAAGAGTAGAAGCATTAGAGAACGAATATAAGACGGAATCAGAGAGGGTATGCTGAGGTATTCTATTAATAGAGAAGAACGGTTATTTTCATTAATGTCTGCAGGAAATTTTAAGAAAGCCCATTTTTGGCACCATCAACTCTTTCAAAAAACTCTCTAAGTATCTGTACGTGACGTGATCTGAATATGTAGAACCCTTCTTTACCAATGGGACCTTCGCTGCAGGGTAGCAAGCAAATTTCCAATGATTTGCCCATTTCTGCAATTTCATCAAATGTAAATGCCTTTTTCCCCAAAGAGGACGAAAGTTGATTATGACGAACGGCGTCTTGGAGCAGAATATTCAGAGCTTGTCAGTGATTTTCGATTTTTTTCTTCTTTTCTTCCTTTCTTTCTTTCGCTATTATTACGAAACAAGATTTCGTTTATTTTTACCTGATTTTGGTTGTCATAATTTCGGCCACTTCTCATTTAGCACGTGAAAAAATTAACTCCATCACTTTGTAAGATCAAAGCAAAAATGTATGTATGTATGTATGTATGTATGTATCTATGTGTGTAGGTGTGTATCTATGTAAATAGATAACGATTCTGCTATATAGACTGAAGTCGTCCGGTCGGTGATGTCCTGACAACCCTGTAATATGCGCATTTAAAATCCTGAATCTTTGCTCTACTAAAGCGGAAATTTATTTTGGAGATGAAAGCTATGCAATTACAATAACGCCTATTTTCTTATGCGCGCACACACACACACACACACACACACACACACACACACACACACATATATATATATATATATATATATATATATATATATATATATATATGTGGACTCTCCTGTCATATCCAACGTATGAGTGTCAAGCATCTCAGTTCCTAGGAACCGACAGCCCAGACGCCAGCACATATGATTTGATTATAGTGGTGAAAGCTTTGTGCAGAACTAACCACACTTTTTAAAAGGCCGAACACTATGTGCCACAGGGTCTTCAAACAAACCCCCACAGGTTTTGAATTCATAGTTGTCCTTCTAGACCAGTTGCCATCCGAGTCTATACAACCCAGTATGTCGTGCTATTTACCTATAGCTGGAGGGAGAAGAAGAGGGTTAATACCTTTCCCGTAAGTGAATGGAATGGCGGCTCTCCGGTCCCTCAATCCGAGCGGTTATCCACTACCCCATATATATATATATATATATATATATATATATATGAGATAAGGATATAAAAGAAAATTATATATCAAAAGGTTGGTGGAAAATATGGATGACAGTTTTGTTGGTCTCTCGTTCAAATGTGCGCCATATACAATAATCAAAGGGTTGCAATCCGCTGCTTGTGTGACATAGTGCGGAATCCTGTTAACAGACATAGGGTCTTCTAGCAGCCACCCTCTTGACTCCGGGCAGCAATTGTTGTTAAAGCCATGTCTAGAGTCTGAGTCCCTCACCAACAAATCCAGGTCTTCTTTTCATATCAGAAAGATAAGAGGGAGTTTTCCGAACTGCCGTATATTCGTAATCATCATTGACTCATCCAGCTCTTTTTTATTCCTCTGCACTCTCCTCGGGTTGACAGCCAATCAAAACAGCATTTTTTTTTTCCAAATTTCTGGTGGAGTGAATTGCGTCGTGGGAGCTCTTTCTCTCACAAACAGTGCCCAACTGAGACTTCTATAGTGTGCTTTTGATAAAGTCAAAAAAAAAAAAAAACAACGCAGAAAATTCTAAAATATAATATGGCGACAATTTAGCCATCGCACCTGTTCATGCACGCACAGAGACACACACATATGGGAATGAATGTGTGCGTGTATGCGTGCGATGAATATATGACGTTAGCAATAATTCTTTCAATTATGTATGTTTAAATACTATCAACAAGTCTAACAATTTTTTCATTTTTTTTTCAAATTCCCGAATTCGTTTTTATTTTTTTCTGTTTTAGTAAATTTTCCGCCTTCAGTAACTTGCAATTGGTCATAGCAAATGTGAGAACGCAGGAATTAAAGAAAAACAGTTGCGTAAATATAGACGGAAAAATCCGAAAGTACTCGGCAAAAAATATGAAATAAATATCTATCTATCTATCTATCTATCTATCTATCTATCTATCTATCTATCTATCTATCTATTTTAAAAATGGCGAGATCAGTTGTATCCGCTACCTTGGTTTCAAATTTACAGTATCCTCAGGCGATTTTTGTCAAATGACTTCTTAACGCTTTATTCTTTTTCAGAATAATGAACGAATATTAATATTTTCAAAAATAAATAAACAAACGCACATCGTTGGGTATAATAGAAAGGAAAGAGAAGGATGTGAATAATAATAATAATAATAATAATAATAATAATAATTACTACTACTAATGAATTTGATAATATTACCACCAGTTCTTATTAAATTAGGGTTGAAACAACGTGGGATGCAAAAATATCGAAAAAATAATCTATAAATAAAAACTCTATTAAAATCAATAAAATATATAGAACGAAAGTAATAACTAACTCAGCGTTTATATGATTAATAGGAAAAATTGCATATATGAGATTAAAAACATTATATATATGATTAAATATATATGATTATATATATGATCAAATATATGATATATATGATATATTAAATATCAAAATGATATATATTAAATATTAAATATGAAATATATGAATATGTTAAATATATATATATATATATTAAATATATATATTAAATATATTATATATATTAAAAATATTATATATGTATTAAATATAAATATTAAATATGAATATTAATAATAAAATATTAATAATTATATTTATAAGTAATAATATTAAAAATGAAATATTAATAATAATATTAATATAAAATATAAATATTAAATATATATTAAATATATTAAATATATATTAAATATATTATATATATATTAAATACATTAAATGAAATATATTAAATATAAAAATGATTAGCTATATGATATATATGTTTATATATATGATTAAAATGAAAAACATTTTATATGATTAACAAAAAAACACATATTCTCGATATGCAGAATTTGTTGAAATAAGATCGATTTTTCTGATGACGCTATTTAATCACCAAAACACGTCAAAATAAGACATTTGAAACATGCTTTATATATTTCGGAAAAAGGTAAATGGAGAAGAAATTAGGAATTGTAACACTTTTAAATTTGCATTTTTCGTCCGACCATCGCAAATATCACACTGTGTAATGTCATATTCACTTTTTCTATCTAATTAACACTCCATGGCTTTATCATTGTACATCAATTATCTATGTGTTCTAAGTTGCTTTCTTTCTTCTAAAATTATTTGAATTCAATATGTACAAGCTAAGCTACTTCCGTTCTTTGTTTTAATTATTCAGTAATATTTGTCTACCCGATGTTCATTCAGTGCACATAGTTTTATTTCGCTTTATCTGTTTCCTTTTTTATTATTCTTTTCACTCTTTTACATTGATTCTTACTCTTCTTTAAAGAAAGTCTTGTTCCTGATATTTGGATTAGATGTACATATGCATTTCTTTTTATTTTCGCCATGTATGTAAATATATTTTGTCATTTTCGTATTTTTTTTTGTTTTTCATATTTTCATTTTCTTAAGAATTGATCAATTTACATTTTAGCAAATTTTCAATGAGTAGTTTTCATATCTTTTTTATGTAAAATTTTTTGCCAATCTTTCCATTCTGTATTTGTTATTTTCATTCACTCTTTATTCCGTATTGTTACATATGAAAATCTCATGTCTATGTTTCTCGGATGAGGTATCGTAACTATATACATTATTTGGCATGTTTCCTCAAATTTATTGTCATATTCATGACATTACGGCTTTCTTCATGTAATATACGTTGGAAATCCGAATATTAAGTGAATATGATAATAATGATGGCGACCATAGTCCAAACAATGTAAACAGTATGAATGGATTTCTTTTCTTTTTATTCATATATTGTTTATATTTCTTTCTAGTTTTATAAATTTCGTATTTTTTCTCTCTTCCTTTCTTCTTTCGTATTTCTTTCTCTTTATCTTTCTTCTTTAGTATATCTTTCTGTTTTTATCTTTTCCTTTCTCCTTTCATATTTCTTTCTCTTTTTCTCTCTTCCTTTCTTCTTTCGTATATCTCTTTGTTTTTCTCTCTTCCTTTCTTCTTTCATATTTCTTTCTCTTTTTCTTTCTTCTTTAGTATATCTTTCTGTTTTCTTTCTCCTTTAGTATATCTTTCTGTTTTCTTTCTTCCTTTCTTCTTTCGTATTTCTTTCTCTTTTTTATCTTTTCCTTTCTTCTTTCGTATTTCTTTCTCTTTTTCTTTCTTCTATAGTATATCTTTCTGTTTTTCTTTCTTCCCTTCTTTCGTATTTATTTCTCTTTTTTCTCCCCCTTTCTTTTTTCGTATATCTTTCTGTTTTTCTTTCTTCCCTTCTTTCGTATTTATTTCTCTTTTTCACTCCCCCTTTCTTTTTTCGTATATCTTTTTGTTTTCTCTTCCTTTCTTCTTTCGTATTTCTTTCTCTTTTTCTTTCTTCTTTAGTATATCTTTCTGATTTTCTTTCTTCCTTTCTTCTTTCGTAATGCTTTATCTTTTTCTCTCTTCCTTTCTTTCGTATTTCTTTCTCTTCTTCTTCCTTCTTTAGTATATCTTTCTGTTTTTTTTCTTCTTTAGTATATCTTTCTCTTTTTCTTTCTTCCTTTCTTCTTTCGTATTTCTTTCTCTTTTTCTTTCTTCTTTAGTATACCTTTCGGTTTTTCTTTCTTCTTTTCTTCTTTCGTATTTTTTCTCTTTTACTTTCTTCCTTTCTTCTTTCGTATTTCTTTCTTTCTTCCTTTCTTCCTTTCTTCTTTCCCTTTTTCTTTCTTCTTTAGTATATCTTTCTGTTTTTCTTTCTTCCTTTCTTTTTACGTATTTCTTTCTCTTTTTCTTTCGTCCTTTCTTCTTTCTCTTTTTCTCGATTTCTTTCTTCTTTCGTATTTCTTTCTTTTTTCTTTCTTCCTTTCTTCTTTCGTATTTCTTTCCCTTTTTCTCTCTGTTGTAATCTTTTAATATTTGCCCAATTTCAAGATGATTTTAACAACTTTCTTTCTCTGTTTTATTTCCGTTCTCTTTGTTTACTCATTCTTTTGTTTGTTTCTTTGTTTCTTTCTTTCTTTCCACATTGTCCAATCATTTCTGTCTTTATATTTCTTTTTTCATCGTTTATTTTTTCAAGTCAGTTTCTGTCAAGTTCCATTATTTCTATCTTACTTTTTAAATTGTATTATCTATTTTATTCCTCCTTTTTTTTCTATACTTCTTTTTTCTTTCATTCTACGTTTGATCATTCCTTTATTTCTTTTACATTTCCTTCGCGACTTACATGCTTGATTATTTATATTTCCTCTTTTCATCTTCCCTTTAACTTCTTTTATTTTTTCTTTGTTTGTTTGTTTCTTTGTTTGTTTGTTTCTTTCTTTCTTCATTTCTCGAATTTATTTCCATTTCTTTAAGATTGTTTTTTATCTTCATTTTTGCCTTTTGCCTTTTCTCTTGTGTCCTTTTTCCTCATGTTTCTTTTCCATATCTCTCTCAAATATTTATTTTACCCCCTTGTTTGTAAAATTTGGGGTCTTTAATTTTTTTTTAAATCCGGTTTTTGCTTACTGACATTTTCTATATTTCCATTACATTTCTCGTACTCCACCCCTTTGCTCGCTTTGCTATGTGCCCATTTTTAAAACAATGTTTATATATTAGCCATATCATGATTTTTTTTTGTTTTTCTATAAGAAAATCCTATTTAATGACAAAAACGAGATATACTTCATTCATATTCAGGATATGCGAAATTTAAATTACTCTTAGTTCTCAGCCATAAAAATTGAAGACAAAATATAAAATACACCTCCACCGGTTTTTCGAAATTGTTTACATCTCCCTCGATATACGCTCGTTTTATATTGTGGATATTGTTAGAAAGCTGATATAAGAATGCCTATTTTAACAGGCTCATTCTTTTTTCGTTGCCCCCCGAAACCTTATCACTAAATAACATGCAAAAATACCTTAAAAGGTGTTCTATCTATCTATCTATCTATCTATCTATCTATCTATCTATCTATCTTATTTTGTTTTGTTTTACGGCATATCAAACTCAGCGGGTTACTTAATGCGGACAAGATTTTTATTGCTGGTAATATTTTTGTTCAAAAAGTATTGCTGGTAATAATTTTAGTTTAAAAAATGTATTGATGGTAATATTTTGTCTACAAACATATATTACTGGTAACCTTTTTTTATTCACAAACATATTGTCGGTAATATTTTTCCAAAAATGTTTTGTTGGTAATATTTAGTTTCCAAAAATGTATTGCTGGTAATAATGCATTGCTGGTAATAATTTTTTCCTTCAAAAATTCAATGATGGTAATAATTTTTTACAAAAATATATTGCCAGTATAAACACATATTTTTGAAATTTCATAGTCTTTTGACACTAGATTGGTGTTAACTATTTGCCCATAGCTATAACTCTAACAGGTGCTACCACCCCGGGTCATGGTCGATCTGGCAACACCGGCAATTAAAAGGTGGTTCCACGCTCCTCAAATCCACCTGATCAGAGGCCTTGGTTTCAATGTAGTTTATCGTCTTACCCATAATGTATATGTAGTTTATTGTCATAACCAAGGCGCCTCTCTCTTTCTTACTTTCTCTCTCTCTCTCTCCCCACTCTCTCTCTCCCTCTCCCTCTCTCTCCATATACATATATATATATATATATATATATATATATATATATATATATATTGGATATCAGTGAAGTTAGTTTAGGGTATAGATATATTTTGTAATGAATAAAATTGATCAAGACGGCGTTTCTAAAATCTCTAGAGGCATGATTGAAATTGCAATGATTGATGCAGGAAAGCAGACCATTACACAATGAGCGACGATAGGAAGCCATGAAGATTTACACACATCGTACATAAATTTATACAATATACAAATATACAAATGCGTTCACGTAGTGTGTTTCACGAATATACGTAGAAGATATAGTGGGAAATAAAAGGCAGCCAGAAAATAGGTGATTGAATTGTAAAATAGAGAGAGAAAATCTGAAAATATATTATGAATAAAGCTTAAAATCATAGATAGTATCAAAAGACGGTATATCTGTCTATATCTCTGAGATGATGTATTATGATTACTTATGAAGACTAAATAAAGGTTTCGGTTCGAAATTCCAATCACCTGAAGAAATCGGGAGCGTACAACCGCCGAAACATTGTGAATATGGCAATGAAGATGAGGATAAAAGTCCAAATAATGTAAATAATCATAATACCTCATCTCAGAGATATACACAAATATTGAAGAAGAAATATTAGCATTTTTTTTTTAGTTTAATCTTCCGAATTTATTTTGCTAAATGTTGTTAAATGTAAATCAATTTCAGGAAATAAAACGCAGTATTCTGAATACAATATAATTAAAAAAAAAATGAAAACAACACAAATTCAATGAAGCACATATTTCATTAACTTCCCCTGTTTGCAAAAAGTGTCAAGAGACTTTGATAACGCAAACAAGTGTTGTAAATGATAACTAGTCTTGTTTTTTGCTTTTTTTTAAACGGCATTTGCAGTCGCTATTATTAAAAAGGAAGATTAAGGTCCCATAGGACAATATATTTGATAGTATCACATAGTTTATACATGCAAGAATATTCAGTGTTGAGAAGAAATTTTCTAAATTATTATCCACGGATTTTGTTTGAAAAGAAAAGTCTATAAAAAATGTTAGAAAATATACATTCTGGAGAAAACTATGATAGATTATACCCTTGTTAGGGCAAAGGCCACATGAAAAACTCAAACCTTCTAAACGTATACAATAGAGAAAAAGAAAGCAGTGTCGGCCATATTGCCAGAAATGCAGGTTTATGTTTCAGAAAGTAAAAAAATAACGTAATTGAATTTGCAATGTCTTTAATTTAATATTAAGATATAAAAAACAGACTGATCTTCATTTCACTGAATTTGCACGTTTGATATGTATTTGTAAGCGTAAAGCTATTTAGAAAACATAATATGGAAGAAAATTTACACCCAGCATTTTCATCGACTGATACATATACCTTGTCAGATGATACGAACGTCTCAATCTTTAAAACTGAAACATTTTCGATATCAATAAACCATGAATGATTAATGATTAAATAAAGCTAAAACCAATATTGTTGCTAGCTTCATATTCTATTTTTCTTTCTTCTCACTGCATTCACATTTTTATTTTTCCATAGAAAATTTTTTCCGTAAAAAAAGATAGAAATATTACCTTTGAAGAACTCGGCGATGAAAGTGAACACATGTTAATTTCCAGACGATATGTTATGTTTACTTTTGAATTCATGGTATAACATTTTCAATTTGCAACTATTCAGACTATACAACTCGTTTAATAAAAATATTTTCTGATTGCTGGAATGTTAAATCCTATTAGTGATATACGCAATTGTTTGAGCATATCTACTTGACACGAAGTTGTTTAATACACTTTTTATATTCGCCTACGTAAATCATGGCCGAGTGGTTAGAACGTTCGCATTCTAACCATGAGACCAGGGTTCGAATCTCACTATGGTCGATTTGTCAGGAAGGAGACTTCCTGATGTTATCGGACAGGAAGAGTTGATCCCAGCGTGCGGCACTTTCGAAAAGTACCTGAAAATCTTTTCAAGCCTCGTAAGTGAAATTGGGTGCTGTCGATAACTGTGCTAGCACGAAGTCACAAGCCAGAAAGCTTCAGCGTCTTTTTGTTCAAATTAATGATCACGCTAGATAACACACTCTTTCCTAGAAACTGTAACTAAGGTCTGCTCGGCATATGTACAGTATAAACAGTGGGCTCTGTGGGTGTTGAATAAATACAAATGCACCTGAGCAAGTGTCTGTAATAAGTATTGGCTAACACCCCCTAGCCAGCTATACATGTAAATCATGCACGCAGTTACAGGCAAAAATATTTCTCATCTTCAAGAACAGCTATGTAGATCTCGTGCTTCTAATATGAATTCTTTTTTTTTTGCGGAATTTATTTACTTTTCTCTCTTGGGATCTTTCTGCGCTTTTTTATTTTTTTGTATTTCTTCTCGATTATCTGGACTTGGCACGCCATTTGTTTTACTCATTCCATTTTTACGTCTTCTTCAGACGTTAATGATTCCTCTTACCGCTGGAGATAATCCGCAAATATATCTGTAATGACAAAAGTACGAAGGTGTAGGCTTTAAGAAAGCTTTATTGAACTGGGGATACAAGGTTCGCTATAGCGTCCTTTTATAGTCCCAGTAAACAGAAATAGCTTTATCAAAGAAGAGAATAACAAAAACAAGGGGAGACCACTCTTGATTATTCATAAGAATATCTTCATTTGTTATATTCTGTAGTGTCGTGTTTCATTGTTGCTCTGCTAGATCTCAACTGGGAGTGAGAATGCCCCACCATTTTGATCTTCGTAACTTTTTCGGGTCCTTATTTGATCAACTGCTCCCATGTTTGCTATAACAGACGTGTTGATACTCATCTGCATTAAAAAATCGGCACATTCCAGATCCGATTCGTATTTTTATACCATATTATTTGTATACGTTATCCTTCTTATATGTTATTCTTTTTATACCAAATACACACACACACACACATATATATATATATATATATATATATATATATATATATATATATATATATATATATATATAATTGCTCTGTAAGTGAGTGATCCTCCTTCATTAGTGAGTTATTTCAATCCGGGCGCCCAAGGCAATATAGAAATACCGAGCTCATCTATCAAATCTGCCTGAGTGCTTGTATACGTGATATAATGCCTAACGGGACAAGGCCTGGAATTAGAGAGGCTATCAGCCGCTCGTTAGAAGTGCTTTAGACAACCCAACGTTTACGGTAGAATGAGCACTTGCCTCGGGGCAAACGGTGGTCCTCCTCCTCGCACGAGTGCACACTTCCCAAGGATTAGAAGTTCCAGAATTCGCCTGTACCATTGGATTACTGACACAGTCGATCTAAGAACGCGATGCGTAGCGTATACTGAGGAATCTCAATGCTAGGTATACAGAGAAAACCTTCAGAAGGGTGGAGGCAACAGATCTCGCGAAATACAATGGGGGTCCTGCCTCCCAACAAGACCTAGTGCCTGTTATTTGTATGGTACATCGAAATGGAAGTACGAAAAGTCACTAAAGGAGAATCAGGTAGATGTGCGAAGCAAATACTACAACCTTCCCATTTAAGGAAAGACGAACTGCGACCTCGGACTTTTCTCGAACCAATGACCAATTAATTTCCAGGATGAAATAATGAGGACCAAAATATCTTGACTGGCCTGCCCGTCAAATGAATAAGAGGATTGGACCGGGAAGTGAATCTCCCTTCCACGTACCAAACCGCAAGCCAAAAGACTTATCGCGTTTGATCTTGGACCCTGTCTCCATCTCGTACACTCTGATCTCTTTGCCGACATCTTCAATCTCGGCTCTTCTCGACAAAAGAACCGAAACATTATCAGCATAAGCGTAGTACTTGGCCGAGTAGGGGAAATCCGTGGAGGATCGTATTCGTCTTTAACTTTTGAAGGAAAGCCTCCAGCGCAAGAAAATACTGCCAAGGCGAAAGTAAACCTTGACGAATTGAAAGAGACAATATAAGATGCTCCGATCGAACTGAATTAACTTCCACCAGCGGGCTGGTGGGGGGATGTATATAGAAGTTTGATCCAGCTGCGAAAGTACGGCCGAAACCGGTGGCGGAAATTACAGCCTCTAGAAATCGACAGTTGATCCCATCGAATGACTCGGATTTAGAACGGGCGGCTGCCTCAATTACAGTTCGTAAGGAACACCATCTAATCCTGGGGTTTTGTCCTGACCAACCAGCTTCATCGCTTCCCAGATTTTCGACTCTGTGATGAGACCCTTGCACCCAACCGCTTCCAGGCGGAGAAAGTCGGCTAAATAACCCGAACTGAGCAGTGATCAGACTGGTCTCCCTGGTAAAATGAATATATAATTCGGTTCTAAGCAAGAAAATTAGCGTTCTTGTTATA